ATCATCGGCAATGGCGTGGTGATCGATCCCTGGGCCTTGGTCGAGGAGATCGAGAGGCTGACGGGGCAGGGCGTCGCGATCACGCCGGACACCCTCAAGATTGCCGAGAACGCGGCGCTGATTCTGCCTCTGCATGGGGCCGTCGACCGGGCGCGCGAGGCGCGGCGCGGCGATGACCGGATCGGCACCACCGGTCGCGGCATCGGCCCGGCCTACGAGGACAAGGTCGGTCGCCGGGCGATCCGGATTTGCGATCTCTCCGACCGGGATTTGCTCGCCAAGCGCGTCAATTCCCTGCTGGTCCACCACAATGCTCTGTTCCGGGGGCTGGACTTGCCCGAGGTGGAGGCCGACGATCTGATCGAGCAGCTTCACGCCATCGCCCCCAAGATCCAGCCCTACGCGGACCGTGTCTGGCAGCGCCTGGACGAGGCGCGGCGTCAGGGGAAGCGGATTCTCTTCGAGGGCGCTCAGGGCGCCATGCTCGACGTCGATCACGGGACCTATCCCTTCGTGACGTCCTCGAACACTCTGGGCGGTCAGGCCGCCGCCGGGTCCGGAGTCGCGCCTGGATCCCTCGGTATGGTTCTCGGGATTACAAAGGCTTACACGACGAGAGTCGGCAGCGGGCCCTTCCCGACGGAGCTGGACGACGAGATCGGCCGGCGGCTCGGCGAGCGTGGGCATGAGTTCGGAACCGTGACGGGGCGGGCCCGGCGCTGCGGCTGGTTCGACGCCGTCATGGTGCGTCAGGCCGTCACGATCGGCGGCATCGATGGGATCGCCCTGACCAAGCTCGACGTGCTCGACGGTTTCGAGCAGCTGCAGGTCTGTACCGGCTATCGGATCGACGGGGCCCTGCTTGACCACCTGCCGGCCCAACCGGCGCTGCAGGCCCGAGCCGAGCCGGTCTACGAGCGGTTCGAAGGCTGGTCCGATTCCACTCAAGGCGCCCGCTCCTGGGCCGATTTGCCGGCAACGGCGGTGAAGTACATCCGCCGTATCGAGGAGTTGATCGCGGCGCCGGTGGCCTTGCTGTCCACCTCTCCCGAGCGTGACGACACGATTCTGGTGCGGGACCCCTTCGGTCCTTAACCTAAAGGTCTCTCGTTTCCGTTAACCTCGCCTTTGCCATCACGCGGCTAGATTGACGAGTGAGGCGCCGTCCGAACGGCCCTCTTCGTTCATTTCGAGCCGAGACCAGATGGCAACGAGCCCCGCGAGCCCAAACGGCGAGACGATCGCGCTCAACCAGTCTATCGACTTGCTGCCCGGCGAGCGGCTTCCCGAGTTCGATTCGCCGCAGGCCGAGGCGTATGGCGCGCGCGAGCGTCAGACCGGCAATCCCTTGATGGTCTTGATCGCCCGGCCCGACTTGGCGCCGCGCCGCGACGTGATGGGCAAGTTGGTCCGGCAAGAGCGGCTGTCCATGCTGTCTGCGCTCAGCTGGGGTATTGCCGACTGGCCACCGGCCGGCGGCCAGCGCTTCGTCGCCGTTTTTCCGCGTCCGCGCGGCCGCAGACTGCAGCCGGAACCCGGTGCGCGTTTCGAACCTTGGCGCGAGGATGAAATTCTTCGCCGGCTGATCGAACCGGTCACGCCGGTTCTGCGCGACCTGGAAGCGCGCAGCATCACCCATCGCGCGATCCGGGCGGACAACATCTTCCTCGAAGGCTCGGCGGAGGGCACCTGCATGCTCGGCGAATGCGTCATGGCGCCGCCGGCCATGGACCAGCCGGCGATCTACGAGCCGATCGAGGGCATGCTGGCCTTGCCCGGCGGACGGGGGCGCGGCTTCGCCGCGGACGACCTCTACGCTCTGGGGGTGACGATCGCCGTCCTGCTAGCCGGCGGCGATCCTGTCGAAGGCCTGGACGAACAGGCACGGATCGAATCGAAGATCCACCGCGGGTCCTACGCGACGCTGATCGGTCGAACCCGCCTGTCGCTGCCGATGATGGAGGTCCTGAGAGGACTGCTTTGCGATCAACGGGTCGAGCGCTGGACGCTGCACGATCTGGAGCTCTGGCTCGGCGGCCGCCGGCTAAGCCCGAAGCAGCCGAGTCTGCCGATCCGGGGGCAGCGCCCCTACTCGGTCGAGGGAACGAGCCATTGGTCGGCGCGTGCGGTGGCCGCAGCGCTCGGCCTCAACTGGGAGGCCGGTGTCGCAGCCCTGAAACGCAACGATCTCGCCACCTGGGTCCGCCGTTCCCTCTCGGACGAAGAGCTGGCCGAGCGCGTCGCCTCGGCGGGCGGGGTGGGGGCTGGCGCCTCCAGAGGCGGCGGCGGGCTGCGGGATCGTCTGGTCTCGCGCATCCTTATGACGCTCGACCCCTCCGCGCCGGTTCGTCTGCGCGGCTTCGCGGCCGACATCGACGCTGTCGGTCAGGCCGTCAGCGTCCACTACGACGATCCCGCGTTGCGGCAGGCCTTCGGCGAGCTGGTCCAAGCGAAGCTGCCACAGGCCTGGCTGGACTCTCAGCTGCTCAGCCGGTCCGAGCATGGCATGCTGCGCAAATCGTTCGACGTGATGCATCACTTCATGTCGCGTAGCGAGGCAGGCTGCGGAATCGAGCGATGTCTTTACGAATACAACGAGCACCTGCCCTGTCTCTCGCCGAACCTGCAGGGCGACTACGTCTCCGAAAGTGCCGATCTGCTGCCGGCACTGGAGCGCGTCGCCGCCAGTGGCACGCTACCGAATTCGCCGATCGACCGGCATATCGCCGCCTTTGCCTGCGCCCGCGTCAAGGGCATTCCGGATCGCCTGCTGCGAACCATGGCGGACGGCGACAACGTGATCCTGCAGCAGCTGTCGGTCGCCTACTTTCTCGCCGAGGTCCAACGGGCGACGGGGCAGTCGGGCTTTCCGCACCTGTCGGCCTGGGTGGCGCGCCTGCTGGCTCCGGTCGTCGAGGCCTTTCATAACCGCGACCGGCGCAAGGCTGCGGCCGAGGCCATCGAGAAAGCGGCGGCCAGCGGCAATCTCTTGGCTCTCGCCCGGGCCGCGGACGATCCCGACGCGCGCCAATACGACGAGACCGGCTTCGCCCAGGCGCGCGCCGAGTACGCCGCCATGGCGCAAGAGATCGCCGAGCTGGAGTCCGGCAAGCTGGTCGATCCCGCGCATGTGCGCTTGCGCAGCCGCCAAGCGTCCTCGCTGGTTGCCGGCTGTGTCGCAAGCCTCGGCCTGTTGCTCCTAACGGTCCTCTACGTGACATGAACCAGCCTCAGCTCAGCCCACGCGAAACGACCCCGGTCTGGGTCAAGGCTCTCGGGGCGATCTTCGCCCTGCCGATTCTGGCCGTGCTGCTTCCCAGCCTGCTGGTTCTCTCGGTCTGCCTGCTGCCGACCCTGGGCGCTTACGTCGCCGACCGCTATCGCGACAAGTCGCTCGCCATCACCGTTGGATTGCTGAACATCTGCGGCGCCCTGCCGGCATTGGGTCAGCTCTGGTCGCGCGGTCAGACGCTGATCGCAGCGGGCGAGGTGTTGGGCGACGTGTTCCTGTGGCTGCTCGCCTATGGCGCAGCCGGCGTGGGCTGGATCCTCTTCTCGATGATGCCCCCGGTCGTCATGACCTACCTGAGCCTCAGCGGAACGGCGCGGGCTCAGGAGCTCCGCGATCGTCAGGAGAAGCTGATCGAGATCTGGGGCAAGGAAGTCGCCGACCAGGACGACGGCGAGGAAGAGGCCGGCGAAGAGGCGGAATAGCCTTCGCGCTTCGTCATCGGCGGACCCGCAAAACGGGTCCTGCCGATCACCGTCCGGTCCAGCGGTTCAGGCGCGCGTCCGCTCAAGCGTACGTCAGTTGAGGGCGAGCTTCTGCTCGATGGCTGCATTGCGGATCGACTTCTGCAGCTTCTC